GAACGCAATCTGACATCGCCAGAGGAGCGCCTAATGATGACGTTGCAGTAAGTATCCAAATCAGTACATTTTTGCATGAATGACTAAACATATTGAGGTTATGGTCATTTTCTTAATTCAAGGTCACTTCTTAAAATAAAGTTCAATATATTGAACTTTTCCTTAAGAACCAACCAATCGGATCAGTAGCGTTGGTCAGCTGATCCCTACAGCATAGATTGGAAGATGCGTACGAGCCATCGATAGTGTACAAACGTCTATAGTCGATATTTATATCGAGATAATCGATCGATTTTATATCGCTGTTTGGGTAAATGGTTCGTGGATAATTGTACTTGGAAGAAAAATGATTTGCCCTTGCTTACGCATCACAGTTTAGAGCTGAACATCGGGGCGGCTTGATTACATCAGGGATGTATGTTAAAAATTATAATAAATAAAGTCAGTAGTCATGTTTACTTCATCCCATAACAAAGTGCTTATAGTGGTAGTTTCAGCAAAACATATCAGTATTGCTACAGCATAAAGTAGATCAAAAAATACCAACATAGAGGATATTAAAATTATATTCTAGAAAGCGAATAAAAAAATATTGATGGAATGAATTAAAATATGATCTTCAAATTTTGTGCATGTAGTACTGACATAGCTGATAGATACAAACATTTTCCTGTCTGACACTGTACCTGTGGTGTAGGTGTTGGGAAATTATAGTCCCACAGAAGAAAAAAGCGAATTTTAATCTATACCATGCCCCCCCAGGACATGTTTTTCCAGAACCTCACAGAACAGTGTGAAGGTACTTTGTCACGGACTATGAAACAGGTGTACACCTGTCCAATGCTGGTTATTTGCAGCTCACCAAATATGTAATCTCTTTTGACGTTTATTGAGGTAAACAGATGAGTAGCATGTAACTTTTTGTGAAATCTGTAATGTTGGTAATAACAAATCTGGTAAAGTCCAGGACCAAATTAAGGACTGGTGTTTGGTATCACCAATGAAAATTTGGTTACACATACATGCTTTCTCTGACTGAGAATTTTGGCAATCAAGTGTATACTGCTAGATTGGAAATTTATACATATGTACAGAGCAGTATCATCTGAAGAGCCATGGTGAGATGACTATGTTTCTGTTTAATGTTAGCTAAGCAAATATGAGAGATATTATGCCAAATATTTTTTGTTTATTTCACACTGTCAAAATCCTTGGAGGAGACACTTGGAACGAAAATCATCATTTATTTTTAATTAATTGTCAATGACCCGAGGAGTTTGTTTCCTAATTTGAAGAAACATTTTTTTTTGAGGACAGTTTTGTTTGCTTTCACCCATTAACAGTGTGTGCAAAATTGTTTTGATTCACATATCAGAGAGATTATATTTGTATTCCAGTCAGTCCTTTAACTACAGATGTATTTTGCTTACATGATAATGCACTGATCAGGTTCATAATATAGAGAAAAATCCAAATGGGTAGAATACTTCTTTGTATGTACAATGTACTGTAATGAAGAATTTGTTCTATTATTGCTGGGACTGTTCAATAAATATTTTTTTAACTACACATTTTTTTATTATCCTGGAAATCATTACCAGCCAAACTGATGAAAGAAATACTTCCTTTATTGAGGATGTGTTAATCAACTATGATCATCGAACTGCCTGAATATCGCGAAGATCATCAGTCAGATTTCGTAAAGTAAACAAATGAAATCGCCGGCACATTCCTGATATGCGTTGTCGACATACAAAATATTCAGATTCGGTATTTTTGCATGTTATTCGAAAAAGCCTCCTTGTAACAAATCTACATGTTGTCAGGCAGACCCCCAACTTGCGTCTCTAATTGTTTGCACAACTTTTTCAAATAAATTCCAAAAATTAATGTTTAGGCTTTATTCCAGGTAGTCTTCGTTTTTTGGGGATGTTTGACAATGTTTGTGTATAGTTGATCTTGTACGAGATGGGGAAGTACAAAAAATTGCTTTTGCGACACCGAATAACGATCTTAAAAAACGAAAATGTTAATGTTGACATGCTTCATAAATAACCATACCTTTTAGTGGATACTGTTATTATAAACCTTTGTATTTAATTGTTAAGCAAGCGCATGCTCGATGCATATTCAGCGTGCACGAGAGATATTTCATCTCTCTCTCTCGCGTTCACATAGACTATACATAAACATTGAGCGCGCATCCAATTCACAATTACTATGCAAATATTTACAATAGCTGTACTCCCTAAAATGCTCTGGGATTTTGTTATTGGTTGGTTGAAGCGTGTGTGATATTTGGCAACATCAAAATATTCATTTTCATATTGTTTTTGGGGTAGCAAATGGCATATTTTGAGCTTTTAGATTGCTTATATACAGTAATGGACAAAAGTATATAGATACATTAATATTGTGCTGTATTTCTTTTTTAACTTGTTTTATTAATACACCAACCTGTATACATAATTCGTTATAGCATAATACTCACTTATACATAAATAAATTCATTAGACTCCCTTCAACAAAAACTTAATTTAAAAAAATTATAAAGGACAAAAATATAAAGACAAAGCGAAACAATTATAGAAAAAAGAAGCAAAGTTCATTGAATTATAGAAAACCAATCATGTTTGTGTTAACATTTTGTAGCATAACCATTATTATCAATCACCGCCTGGCATCGTCTCGGCATGGATTGTAGAAGTTTCTTGATATAAGATTCATCAATATGTCTCCACTCTTGCTCAAAAGCGGCAAAAAGTTCATCCTTGTTTGAATAATTTTTATCTCGAATTTCCTTATCTAAGTATTCCCATAGATTTTCAATGGGGTTTATATCGGGAGACTGTGAAGGCCATTTGAGAACTGGTATTATTTCATCCACAAAGAATTTCTTTGCGAGATTTGAAGTGTGCTTCGGGTCATTATCTTGCTGGAAGATTGATCTCAAGGGCATATTGTCTTCCATATAACACGAAATGCTTTAGTATGTCTGTGTATACAAACTTATCCATAATGCCATCTATTCTATGTAAAGGTCCCATCCCAAACCCAGAAAACCACCCCCAAACCATAACAGACCCGCCTCCATGTTTGACAGTAGGTAACGTGTACTTGGGGTACAATGTTTGTCCACTAATACGACTAACGTAATGAACACTATCTGATCCAAACATATTGAACTTTGATTCGTCACTGAAACATACCCTCTTCCAGTCACAGATGCTCCAATCAAGATGCAACCGTGCAAATTGTAATCGGTCCTTACGGTTTTTCATCGAGATTAGCGGCTTCTTACTCGGGCGACGTGCAAATAACTTCAAATAATTTAATCTTCTACTTATAGTTTTCGTAGAAACACTGGGGGTTTTAAACGGATCTTTGGACGAAATTACTTTTATTAATCTAACTGATCTAGCATTTAGTTTTCTAGGCCAACCAAGATACCTTTTTGTTTATATTTGATCAATATTGCCCAAACTGTTTTACACTTCAGCTTCAAATTTTTGGCAATGTCGACTTGACGTTGACCATCTTTGTATAACTCAATGATCCTCTGACACGAAACTGTACTGAACTAATGTTGAAAAGAATTTGTCTACATATTTTTGTCCCTCACAAAAAAGTGCTTATATTCAGACTTGTATTGTGTTCATTGCAGATAATGTAAAAACAAGGAATTTAGTTTTTCTGCTAATAACACATTTGTTTATGGAGCAATGAAGTATGAATTCGTTTTATAAAGGTATTTAGGTAAATATTCATATTTGTCTATACACTTTGAAGTTGAGTCACTAATTTTCAGATAATGATTGTAGAAGGAAGATAAACCAAAATATGTGTGTAAAAATAAAAAAAAAATGTTACCTTGTTTTATAAAGTATCCTCCCGACAAGTATTTGAGTGCGGACCTGCATTTGATCGTGCGGTCTTGGAGCACCGGCATGACCTAACCTGTGAGGTCTTAAGTCACCTGATTCACGAGCCCTTTGTACTACATTGCACGAGGGGTTGGTTGCACTCGATTTTGAAACCGATTCGCATTATATCCGTTGTTGCCAAACACGAGCACATAATATTATTATTGAGACAGGGTGGTACTCAAACTTCTAAAGGGCTATAACTTTGTTACTTTAATTTTACCACAAAAATGTTAAAGGAAAAAAACATTTCTTTTGATCAGATCTACTCACTGTTAAAATAAATGACTCAACTTCGAAGTCACCCTATATACTTTTGTCCATAACTGAATATCAAGTCCAGAGAAAACTTCTAAAGCTGATTTTTTGATCAGAATCTCCTAAAAACCACAAAATACTTTAAACAAAGCAAACAAATCAATTTTTGGAATCTGTTTAGTAACAATTTTGGGCATTGTCACATGCAGATTCTCTAACACGGGTCCTTGAATCAGATTATGCCAGGGACAGAGTTCTGTGACTGATTACCAGTGCATTGGCGCAAGCGTGTGGGGAGAGGCCACTTGTCAATGTCGAGGCTGGTCCGCAAGACCACATAGCACAAAGCACTATTTTATCTGCTACCTTGACGTCAAACATATGAGTTTATTAGTGTGTTTAATGTTGATGTTGTCGCCATTGCTACATTGGCAATCCCAGCCGCACATGCGCATTAAATGATCATTTTCTTAAGTTAAGTCTTGCATGAACCCACCATTACACTTTTATGTTACTATAATGTTAAGTTTGTACATATATGTATGATGCTGAAAATGCTAGCATTATTGTGGTGAGATGTGTGCCTAGTGAATGACTGAACAATTTTAGTAAGTATGCTATATTTCTGAAGAATTCCACACTTCAGGCAAGAAAAGCTGACAAGGCAATATTGATGAGATTTTCTGTGTGACAGCAGCTTTAAAAGCTTTACCCTGTAAAAACAGATTTGACACTCTCTGACTTCGTCTGATATCTGGGCAACCAGACCTGACAGACCTACAATACTTTAACAAAGAGCGAAGGTCCCACTGACAATGATGTGTAGAAGAAGTTTTGACAATGTAAATGAATTGCTCTGAAATTCAAAAGTCTTTGCCCCCCCATTTTCTTTATTACTTAAATACCCAGCTTTGACTCCTCTTAATATCTCTTACCATTCCCAAGATTCCAATGGTGAGAGTCAAATTTTAAAGACCTAGTATAGTAAGTAATATCTGGTGTAGAGCATCACTGAGATACTCAGAGTACAGCTCAACTGGGAAACCAGCTTAGCAGAGAGCTGCCCTCTTAAACCTCAAATAGTTGTTAGGCCCATCAACAAACCTTTCCTAGAGGTGGATGCACATCAAAGAAGAATGTGCTGTTTATATACCAACTACCCATTTTTCCAAAGTGTGTTTCATCCCAGCTAAAATGATATAGAACTTTAAAACCTCAACTTCAACTCAGTATGACTACCTATATACATACCATACATGATCAGGTTCATGAACTTTATAGAATCTAGTAAGCACAGTAAGAAGACATATTATGGCAAAAGTAAACCACCAGCTTCTGTAAAAATAAAAATGCAATAGATATTTAACCCTTAACCGGAAAGGTGCCGTCTGTGAGACTGCGGCGTTTCTATACCTGAGCGTATCTTTTTTTATTGCACCTCTAACAGACGTAAAAACCCATCTAATCCATAAGCTATTAGTGACCATCGCCCACCCCCATTCACACGAGTCTAGCCAAAACGTGCCTTAAAATATGGACCAATTTTAGTTTGTTGCAGTCTGTCAGACGGCACGTTTCCGTTCCCGTTTGCTATTTGTGTTGCATAGGTGCGTTTGCGAGTATGGCGGGACCTTCTAAACGTGTACGATACGATGATCCGGAGTTCGAAGAAACCGTTCTAAAATGGTTTGAGGATGAAGGAAGTGACTTTAGTGATATAGACAGTGCCTCAGAAGACGAATACATGGAATCAGATCATACAAGTGATAGTGAGTTATCAGAAGACGGAGCCGAAGGAAATGAAGAGGATTTACCAGCTCAGAATTATTTCTATGGAAAAAATCGTCATAGGTGGAATATTTCGGAAGTTGTACCATCATCACGTACAAGGAAGCACAATATAGTCATTAAAGTACCAACTCTAAGAGGAAAAGCTCATGAATATGGAGAAGAAGCAGCTCCGTTGACGGTTTCGCAGCTTTTGTTCACTGACGACATGTTGGTACATATCGTTAAGTGGACCAATCACAAGCTCAAAGAAATGCGAAAGAGATACAAAAATCAAACCAGCAACCTAAACGACACTGATTTAGTCGAAATAAAAGCACTATTGGGTCTCTTAGTATATACATCGGTGTTCAACAGCAACCACGAGAACATTGAAACTCTTTTTGCCACCGATGGCTCTGGAAGAGATATATTCAGAGCTGTCATGAACATAAAACGATTTGGTATTCTCCTGTCAGCCTTAAGGTTTGATAACCCAGATGACAGGAATGAAAGAAAGAAGCTAGATCCAGTAGCACCAATATCTTTCATTTTTAATAGTTTTATAAAGAACTGTCAAGATGTGTACGGAGTTGGCCAGTCTGTCACTGTCGATGAAATGCTCGTGAGTTTCAGAGGAAGATGTCGATTTAAAATGTATATGCCTGCGAAACCTTGCAAATATGGCATCAAAATTATGGCATTGACGGATGCAAGGAATAGCTACCTCTATAATGCATATATATACTGCGGTAAAGATTCCGATAGTTTCGAACTTCCTGAGGAACACAAGCGGTATTCCAAACCCACACAATCAGTTCTACGTCTCGCGAAGCCTCTGTTTGGAACTAATCGCAACATTACAGCGGACAACTGGTTTACGTCAATAGAATTAATGGATGTCCTATTGAAGAACAAACTGACCTATGTGGGTACAATGAAGAAAAATAAAAGAGAAATTCCTCCGGCATTTTTACCCAACAAATCAAGAGAAGTCGGATCAACAATGTACGGATTTCGAGAAGATTCCACTATTGTGTCTCATGTAAGCAAAAAAATAAAGCCACAATACTCATATCTTCTATGCACCACAGAAAATATTGTGATCCGGAAACACAGAAACCGGAAATAATAGCCTATTACAATGCTAATAAAGGTGGAGTTGATTCTCTTGATGAAAAATGTTCGAAGAGTACCTCAAGTCGCCGTTCGCGTAGGTGGCCACTGGTTATTTTCTACCGACTTTTGGATATATCGGTAGTGAACTCGTATATTTTACACCAGTGCTATAAGAAAAATGAATTGCAGAAGGAAAAATCGGTATTTGCTAAGATGTTGGCCGCTAACCTGGTCCGTGAGCATATGGAAAAGCGACTAGAGAGTCCCCGTTTACCTCGGGATTTGCGACTTACGATAAATCGCATCCTTGGCAAATGTGAACATCCAGCAACAGAAGCTGAAAATTTGGTTTTGGAAAAAAGGAAAGCCTGCTTTTTATGTCACCGAACGACCCATCGGATGACCAAATTTTTGTGTGTACAATGTAGGAAGCCTGTATGTCTTCAATGCTCCAAACCCAAATGTATTAGCTGCATAAATATAGGCAATGTTTGAGACTTGCAGTGAATTTTGATTGTGTTCTTTTTGTATTTATTGACTATAATATACTTTCCTTGTTCATTACTTAACTAGAAAATAGAAAAATATTGAGACTTTTCCATAGTTTTAATTTAGTTTCTGAATGTTGCAACAACAGCGTTATTTTTGTATGGTTTTAGCATAGTTAATAAAAATGTTTCTTTTATGTTCTTGTATCATTTTGAAATGAGCATTTTACGTATTAAACACATAAAATAAACATCCAGTATCAGTTTCAGCGAAGTTATTGCTTGCTTTTCGCCTTACTCTAATTTTTTGAACATCTTGAAGTTCGCAGTCTGAGAGACGGCATGTTTCCTTTTGTGTTCCAAAAATTCACGTTTCCTGTTAAGGGTTAATGGATGATGGTACATTTAACATAACCACGTATTTGGGGGTTATTGTAGGTTTAACGTGTACATAACCTTGTAATATGTAATTCTGCATGAAAAAAAAGTCTTGGATGGAGCATTTATATGGGAATTTGTTTTTCAAAAATGCCATTTTTTATCAGAAAAGGATATAAAATAAATCAGGCAAATAAATAATTAATAACTCTAGTAGGTAATTCGTTCAAGATAAATATAAACACCTACCTGTTGCTACTTTCAATTCCGCACCTCTTATCCATATTCCATTAAATGCACAGCTTCTTAGATTTTTAGTAATGTATATCACTCTGGATTATAATTTCCACCAAAAGTAATTAAAGGTTAGCTTGTTATTCACTTCTTAAGTCACGAAAATGTGCGATGGCGAGCACATAATAGCAAAAGCAATTTTTGTTTTAACAACTAAAACAACAAAATATACACTGAAATAATGCAAACTCAGTGTCATTCAATCAGCAACACAAATGTCGCCATGTTTTCGTGGTGAAAGAACAAATATGACACAGAAAGAACGCCTGCCTACTCAGAACAATTCGACAAATGACATATGCCGGCATGTTTCTTACAATGACATACGGTGGTGCTCTCATCGTTGCCTACTTGCTCACCACATCTGTCACTCTACAATCAAATTCAAGCGGATAACCAAATGAAAGTGGTATTTACCATTTTGGATTGGTATTTACCGATCCGTTCAAGCGAGTGTGGTTATCAGTTTGGTTATAACTTAGACGAGGAAAGAGAGTGGACTCGTAACACGCATTCACAGACCGGCGCAGTAAGTGTGCCCAATTATTGAAGAGACGCCATTATTTGGGTCCTGTTCTTGAAACCGACTCCAAGCTTTTTTTCTGTGTTTCTGTGTTATTGTGTATTAAAGACTGCGACTTTTTTCAATAAGAATGGTGTTGTGCTCGGCTTTTGGTTGCAAAAATCGCAGTGATAATAAAGTGCCAGGAATAACCAGGTAAATTTTTTAGTTGTATTGATAACGTAAATACCTTAATTACTTTATAACTCCATTTTAAACGACTGCAACAATATTATTTCAGTGATATAAGTACTACTTCACTTGAATGCATAATTTAAATTAGTTATAGCCATGTGTTTCATTCAGGATTTGTTTGAATTTATCAATTTTATATCACTATTATGATTGAATGGCGGTCATTTGCCAGTGGCGGGTGCGATATTTTTTTATTTATTATTTACATTTTCAAATATGTTCAATATCAATTTAGTTTAGTATTGTTGTCATTGTCTTTCAGGTTTCCTCTTAAAGATCCAACAAGAAATGGTATGTGGCTGAAGAATATGCATCTAGCTGACTGGTTTCCCACAAAAAATAGTAGGATCTGTTCAAAGCATTTTGAAATCCATGCTTTTTACAAAGTTGGAAACAGAACCTCTCTTTTGGATGATGCAGTCCCTACAATCTTTGATGAACTTCCAAAACACCTACAGTCTAAGGTAATTTAACACTTAACCCAACATATTAAGAAATTTACAAAACAAATTATTCATTTACTCAGTTCACAGAGAAATTCTACCAATAATTACTATAATCTGAAATAACCATATACTAATTAAGTTGAGGACTAATTAATGTAATTGAGATATATTTGAATGCAGGTAACAAAGAGACCGCATCCAAGATCAAGACAGCTTATTACACCTACAGCTTCGACATCTAGGAAAAATGATCCTCCCCAAGAAGATCCAGACACCCCCAGAAAGAAGCATCTTAGAAGACAGCTTTTTGCAGAAAGGGTAAAGAGCCAAGAGAAATCAAGAGAAATAAAAGTTTTGAATCAGCGGGTGAGAAGACTGAAAAGACATATTGTTTCTCTCAAACAAGTAGTGAAAGCCTTAAAACAAAATAATTTGGTATCTTCTGAAAGCTCAGTTCTGCTTGAAAACATGCCAGAAATTACGAAGGAGTTACAAAAGCGTAAGTTGGGAAAAAAGCATCAGTATTCTCCAGAACTGCGGAAGTTTGCAATTACTTTGTGTTTTTTCTCCCCAAGAGGATATGATTATGTACGAAATGCTTTTGAAACCTGTTTACCCCATAGAAGCACTATAGGAAAATGGTTTGAGACCATTAATGCTGAACCAGGTTTCTCTAGTGAGGCAATTAATGTTTTGAAGAAAAATGTAGAATATTCGGATAAGCCTGTACTATTAAGTCTCATTATAGATGAGATGTCCATTCGGAAGCATCTTGAATGGGATGGTAGAAAATTTCATGGATATGTCAATTATGGCATTGATTTAGAAGATGATTCTAACATAATGACCAAAGAGGTATTTGTTATGATGATTGTTAACATTAATGGAACTTGGAAGCTACCACTTGGCTATTTCCTTGTAGATAGTTTGAATGGAAATCAAAAAAGTGTACTTGTTTCACAGTGCATACAATTAGTTTCTGCTACAGGAGCACGAGTTGTATCGCTTACATTTGATGGTGCTCCTTCAAATATTGCAATGGCAAATACTTTGGGAACCAATAATTCTTATGACTCATTAAAAACACATTTTTCTTTAGATGGTGACAACATTTATGTTTTTTATGATCCAAGTCATATGATAAAATTAATAAGAAATGCTTTTGGGGAAAGAAAACTACTAATAGATGACAATGGGAATTTCATTAAGTGGGAATTTATAGAAAAACTGGAAAAACTTCAAGAATCCGAAGGACTTCATTTAGGAAACAAGCTGCGAAAAGCCCATTTAAATTTCTTTAAACAGAAAATGAAGGTAAGATTGGCAGGGCAATTATTAAGTGCTTCTGTAGCAGATGCGCTTTGTTATTGTGAAAAACAATTGAACTTGGAGGAATTTAAAGAGTGTCAGGCTACTGCTAAATTTATTAATATTATAAATAATTATTTTGACATTTTAAATAGTAGATCTTTGATTCCTCCAGGTTACAAAAAGTCTATGCATTCGAAATATAGATTCAACAAAAACCTTCATTGAGGAGGCAATCAATTATATATCATCATTGAAATTTATTGATGGAGAAAAATTGATTGAATCTAGGAGAAAAACAAGTTTTCTGGGTATAATTATATCTCTAAGAAGTGCTTTGTTGATGTATAATGATATAATTTTATATAGAAACGAATTAGTCTATTTGCCATTATATAAAGTGAGTCAAGACCACCTTGAATAGTTTTTCTCATAAATAAGGTCTAAAGGTGGTTGGAATAATAATCCAACAGCTCGACAATTCACTTCAGCCTATAAAAGACTAATTGCTAGAGCAGAAATTAGGGAGGGTGGTGTGGGTAATTGTATTCCACTGGATGATATTCCAATTTTAACCCAATCCAGTAGACTAAAAACTCCAGTGGATGATCTAAATGCAAACAATTTAAACTTGTTGGGTGAAATTCAGGAGTAACCTTCTTTACAGACGATATGGAAGGACCATGACTATATAATGAACAGTCATGTGATAAGTGAGTGTTCCACACAAATAATAATTTATATAGCTGGTTTTGTTGCTCATCAATTGAAAAACAATATAAAATGCGAAGACTGTGCCCAGTCACTCACTGGTGACAAGCAATCTTTTCTAAATTCTCTAATAACAACAAAAACTCGAGGTGGTTTAACTTACCCGTCTAAAGACGTTATAGAAATTTGCAAGCTCACAGAACATTTCATAAGAGTAAATGAAACTGTATTAATGAAGACAAATAGTGTTAGTATTATTAAAAATAAAATTTTATTTGAATGTATTCAATTGGAGTTATTTAATAATTTAACAACACATGTTTTAAACTCTCCCACCAATCATTATTAGGATACATTTTATAACAAAACGAAAATCTGAAATAACAGATCCTGTTAGAAGCCATTTAACAAAAACCATTTTATTTAAAGGACAATAAAATGGTTTTATTACATTTACATTAACATAGTTATTTATATACGAGTAGATTCTAATTATTTTCAATAAAATATCTCAGTTCATACTGAATGTTCATTAAAAAGATATATTCAATATAAAATAACAATAAATATCTTATATATTATTTTTAAATCACAATATAACATGTGCAATCAACACACTCAAGTTATGTTATTCATTTTGAACAAATATGCTCTCAATAAAGGCATATATGATTATAATCATGTTTACCAATAAGTGAAATTTACACTGTAATAATTATAATTGAAGTACCATAATATTATAATGCTATGTCATACTCAATAAATGTTTCTGTGTAAACTACATGTTTATTTTTAATAAAAAAAATATAGGAATATACCTACTCTGCTTGAGATTTGACACTTTCATAAATGAAACAATTTATTTTTTAGTTATATTGCTCAATATTTATTGGGTGTTTAGTATTTTTATGGAATACTTAGTCTGTTGTTATACTTTCACATAAATTAACTAGAAAATGTGTTATACAATAAAATATAGATCATTCGATTTCTTCTATTTCATTTTTATAATAAAATAATTATTTCTGAAAAAACTTGTTGAATCTGTGCTATTAGAAATTACCGATGAAAATATACTTTGTAAATAATAATATAATAAATTTACTTTTTTCTACGTTTTCCGTTTTTTTTTAGATATTTCAAATTGAAACTATAAAATAGACAAATACTAAGCGTCACTCAAGTGAAAAATTTATTTCTGTAAGATGATATTGAACCCTGGCGATACGCCCCTGGATTGACAGCCTGGAGTCTGACTGGGCACACTTTTAAAGCGGACATGGCGTGTCCTCTCTCTTTCCTCGTCTAAGGGTTATAAGTCCGTGACGTCATGAATCAGCTGTTATATGTCATAGTTATCACCGCAAAATTGTGGTATTTACCCAACTCAGGAGTAGTTTTATATTGCTGGTTATTATTTGACTTGTGACAAGTTAGAATTTTGCCGAGTATAGGATATTTTTATTGTACTTCAGCTTTATTTTTGGGAAACTTGATACAGGCTGACTTCAGATTTAGCATAAGAGAGCACCTTATTATTTATAATCATTACTGTTTTTGGGGACAAATCTAGTTCCTACGCTTAACAAAGTACCTGGTATAGCCATATACCACAAGAATATTAAAATATGGCCATTTAACTCACTGGATGATGTCCACCTGTATACGGTTTTGTTAATATCGTTTTTTCATCGCTTTTTCATCATTTCTGCTAAATCAATAAATATTTTCTTTGACATGCGGAAAAGTTTAGAGAATTGAAAGTTATCATAGCTACAAAGCCATGGTTCCATCAGTAAAAAAAATTTCTCAAAAAAAAAACATTCCTCCCATTAATATTATGAAAGTTTTCTTTTTTTCAACTTTCCATACCCCGTTGTAGACGAAAAAGCACTGATTATTAAGTGATAATAAAAATAATCAGAAATTATATACGCGCTTTTCTAAAATAAACAACTTGCAACAAACCGCGGTTAAAACCAACGCGTTCAAGAGATTCGAGTAACTGACGTCATCATCCCGTGTGTCGTCTTGAACCATATTATAACCGCGGTAAATAACACGGAAATTTTGGTTATTCGCTTGGATTTGACTATTGTCATCTTTATATGGTTGTTTTGAATGGTTTTCCTAATAAAAATTAATTTTGCATTAGGAAAAACAATTCAAACACCTCACGTGAATTTGTGATTGGGTTCGTTCAATAGTGATAAATAAAACAATATAATTAGGAAAATAACTTTATTCTGGTAGATAACGTAATGTGGTGCATTTGCAATATAGTGCACCACGTGTTTTTTTACATTCGGACGACGTCACATCCGTCTTCCATTATTCCCGTTCTTCGCGAAAATTTGAGTATCGGTTCCCGGTAGTGCACTGTGCTACACCATGGACTAGCGAAAAAATCCTTTTAGTTTGTCATTTGCGTATGTCAGTCTCTGCTTGTTTCCTGTTCCTTGAAATGAACATACAACTGTAATGGGGTGAACTCATCAGAGAACAGTGCCTCCCGACATGTAGGGCATTGGGGGATGTTAACATCACTTTGTCTTACGGTGAATTAGATACATTTTCGATTCCCTTTCTGTTAATTGACTTTTACTTCTAATTGTGTAAGGCATGAACTCGAAGTGTCTGACAGAAATGTATATTTATCTTGATAATGAGTCTGTACCACAAAATCTGGCTTAGAATAGCAGTGATCGTATTCAATTGTACTTACATCTGTCAAGTCTTTGGTACTTCTTTTGTCAGGCAATTTACATGGCCTGCTGCCGAAGTTGAAGGAGAATCACAAATGCCTGCTGAGAAACCAACAGAGCATTCCTTCAATGGAACTGCAATATCAGAATGACTAATGGGTTGACTCAGAATTTGACCATCAACATCTTTTGGAACTGCAAGACAGTTCTAATGTGAATAGGGATCCTGAGGGAAACATTATCAGACAGTACGAACTGGTCTTCGCAAACATATTTATCAGATTTTGTACTGGAAGCTAATCCAAAAGCATTGTATCATAATTGCCTTTGACTGAGATTTTTTGGGAATCGATGAAATTTCTTGGATGGGGCATATGAATGACTTACATTCAATATGTATTTATTTTAGGTCTGAGCATTCGGCTTGACCCTCGGAGATTGCATCTTACCTTTTTCCCTCGCTACCCTACGTATAGAGCCCCCTTTTTAGCCCATATGCCCAGCCGCACGCCCTTGTGCGCTCCGGGGTCCGTCTAGCGTGCGCGCGACCTGAGTCGGTGGGCGGCTGCTAGCAGCGCGCTCATTTTTTTTATGGCACTAGGACTATGTCCCATTAACCAGATCCTTTTTTACAATTTAAACTTCTTTAACTAAGTAAGGATGGAATTGGACAGGGATACACTCTTCTCGCCTAAGGACCCATTAACGCGTTTTCAGAATATGACACACAACAATTAGGCCACGGTTAGGTAGGTAAATTACAGAGGATAGTTACACAGAGGATATCTAGCTAATCAAAACTAAAATTTTAACCCAGAGGTTTTCAAAAAGTCCATTATCAGACACGTAACATCAAGTCTATTCAAAGCTAGAATGTGGAGAACATTAAATGGTGAAATAAGGCCTAAGCTAATCAGATTAAGATAGAGTCGAGATGTGTTGGATAAGCTCCATGCCCAAGTTTTGCCCTAATAATCATAGACATGTATTTACGAGGAATTCTAAAATTTTTGTGCAAGTACGTTGTTGGGATATCAGGATGTATTAAAGTATACCTCGTTGGGTTCGTAAAGCAGAATTCCTTCCATTCTAACGTCCAGCTTTTAAATAGGATTTGGTTGGATAAAATATTATAATCTTCTTTGGAAATTTGTGTCTGTAATACAGATCCTGTGTAGATGCTTGATTTTGCGAGTTGGTCAACTTTTTCGTTGAATACGATTCCACAGTATGCCTTGACCCATACAAATGCAACCTTGCTTCCACTTTCTTTCAAGTGGCAGATCCTATGTTTTATTTGATTTATGTGACAATTGCTGGTCCTTGTGCAATCATAATTTTGTAAGGAGGAGAGAACGGAGAGACTATTGGAAAAAATTGTAAATTCCTTCAAGTGACTACTGCTTGCATGTTTCAGAGCTTGGATAATAGCCACTGCTTCGGCTGAAAAATAGATACTTGGTCGGGAAGTTTAAAGGTGCCAACTGTGTCAGTACTGGGTATATAATATGCACGTCAGGTTCCGTTCTGATTCTTGGATGCGTCGGCAAAGATCTGGGTACCCCACGCGGAATGCAGGCACACCTGGTTGAAAATGCGGATATTCAACAATGGGATGTCACTGTATTCTGGTATTATGATTCTGGTGTTGTAGTCCAGTTAAATAGCCGAAACTGAGACAAAAGTGATAACATAGCCACAAAGTTATGTCCGTTGGCGTAATGGTGTTATAAAGGATTGCAAATATTGTTGTATGAATTTGGTTTTCCGGAAACCAGCTGTTTTTTGTAAAACAGCGAAAAACCCAAAAAACCTCTTTTTCGCTGAAACGGCTGAGGATATCTGGGATCTTTTTACACTTGAATTTTTCTAATTTTTAGGCTATCAAAAAAGGTCTCTGCAATTTTTTTGCTAAATTGCATAGTTTTCGCGTTACAGCTTGCTGATGGCTTGAGGGCGAGGGGTTTGAGGGGACAGGGGCGGCGTACCTGCATAGCACCAACCTGCCGCCGCACCGTCCACGCGTTGACGACGCAGACGATCTCTTACTATATGGTGGGGGTTATTGACTAATAGTCCAGTTGAATTTCGAACCCTGAGCTCGCTTGTCAGTTTGGCGTTCACCGACTTTTCCGAAAAAACTCATTTTCGAAGTTTATGCTTGTCGATTGACTGGATAAGTGATTTAAGTTATCCACGATGGGTTTTTTAACGGAATTTCTTTTCATTTTCCAATGTTAGTATTGTATTTTTTAGTAATATGTAGTACAGCCCAAATTCAGTATATGTTGTCCAAAATTCAGCATGTTTTCGAATTCCATTAGCACTATGTTCTGGTATTAATAACAAAAATCAGACATATTAGACTGACTGGATCGAAAATTGCATTACACTTACTTAGTTTATGCTTGTCGATTGACTGGATAAGTGATTTAAGTTATCCACGATGGGTTTTTTAACGGAATTTGTTTTCATTTTCCAATGTTAGTATTGTATTTTTTAGTAATATGTAGTACAGTCCAAATTCAGTATATGTTGTCCAAAATTCAGCATGTTTTCGAATTCCATTAGCACTATGTTCTGGTATTAATAACAAAAATCAGACATATTAGACTGACTGGATCGAAAATTGCATTACACTTACATAGTTTATGCTTGTCGATTGACTGGATAAGTGATTTAAGTTATCCACGATGGGTTTTTTAACGGAATTTGTTTTCATTTTCCAATGTTAGTATTGTATTTTTTAGTAATATGTAGTACAGTCCAAATTCAGTATATGTTGTCCAAAATTCAGCATGTTTTCGAATTCCATTAGCACTATGTTCTGGTATTAATAACAAAAATCAGACATATTAGACTGACTGGATCGAAAATTGCATTACACTTACTGGAAACCGATTCTCACCGAAATTATTTCTGTTATTCAATAGGAATAAAATGCAGCAAACTAGTTACTGCGTCATTTGCAGTTATCCGTTAGCGCTCGGCCATTGCAGGACCGTGGGGAAGAAGGGAATCACACAGAGCAAACGCGAGGAAGACAAAAAATGGTTGGATTGGGAGAAAAAGGAAAAACTAAATCGCCATGAGAAGTGTAGACTTTCATACTCGGTCAGTGGAACGTATACTCAGAATTTTGCGTTTAATGCACCCGATAACAATATCGTAGCTGCGAGCGATGAGGTTCCTGATTTCCATTACGCGGATAATTGCTTCATTTGTGAAGAAATGACTCTTTGGGAATTAGCGTTGTTGAAAGATTACAAAACATTTGCTTAATTCGGGTACAAGACAGATATCACCGGACATGCATGTCTCATTTCAATGCGCATGGTTTAAAAAAAATATCGAAGATCTAAACTGGTCTAGAATCGATTCATTGCAAGAACCTGTGTGGCAAGTTCTTAAAGAGGACAAAAATGTTATTCATTATTTGTCGAAGTTAGTGAACGATGACTCTATAGATAGAAGGACTGTAGCAGATCACATTAAAAACGTTACGGTGAGGAAGTTGAGTGCAGTATAATGAGGGGAAAAGATATACGTGTATGCTTCAAAAGTCATCATGTTTTTAATGTGTCAGCAGACCCATCAACTTTCACAGAGGGGCAGATACAAGTCGAAAGATTCAAGGCATGATTTGCGCATGGGCTTTTTAGAGCATTTGGCAAATATTTTTGCAATTCTATTACAGCGCCCTTTTGTTCACCTAACATTAGGTTACACGTATCAGTACCAATGCCCATACATAGTTTTGAGTCTAAGTTATTGGTTTTAATGAAATGCTTGACTGTTTGAGCAAGAATTTGACCTGAGTAGCAATCCACAAATCCCATGAAGTCCTCGTAAATATATGTTTGATAACAATACGATTGACATTTGTGATTTATGGCTAATGTCTGTAGTTTCGTCAAATATAATACTGTAATACTGACTTTGCCTGACGCGACTTAAAACTATATCCAAGATTTCTTCGCCACAACATTCTATAATTTCATTTTGGATGCGGCTACGTATGTACGTAGCATGCGCTTTTGAGTTCTCTAAGTTTTTTTTCAAGAAATTGTCGCGGCTCTCGACTCTAAACCGTATTAGTTCTCTAAAATTCCCTTCATTATGAAGGACATCCTCGTCATTCGTGATGTCATCAGTAAAAAGTCGTCTCCTACCTCTATGCCCTCTAAGTGGTATATTTTGGCGTCCTAAAAAAATTATAGATTCTATTATAGGAGTCAATCTTTACCGATTTTCTAATACTTGCTTAATTCGCTCTGAACCTATTATATTTCTTATGTCATTATCTGGATGTTCGTAAATCTTTAAAAAGTTTGTAGCATCTGAAACTGCTTCTGTATGATATATTGAGTTCTCATGTGTCTCACAATCACCGGTTTTGCCATACAATTTCGAAAATTTCTTCAGTGGTACTGTAACAAGTTTTCCCAATTTAGTTGATTTATGTAAGTAACATTTCACTTCTTTATCAACAAAGAACCTTTTCTGTTTGGAAAACAAGATTTCTTAAGTTCACGCAATTTTCAATAACTGAGTATATAATTTGTCATCTCGGACGAACGAAATGCACTGGAGTGCTTATATACAGGGACTTCCGAGACAAAATAGACATAGATGATAATGATCGCTGGAGTATGGACCAAACATCTCGTAATTGAAATTATATTAAATTTCCATTTTTCCGTCTGTCATTTTTTAGACACGATTCTTTTATAGTATAAAAATTAAAAACAAACAAAAATTAGTTTTCTGGCTTATGTGTGGAAAATAAAAAATCAATAGAACATAGAAAATAGCGTTAATACCAACCAGATCAACAAAACTCCGCTTGTTCACTTCTCAGCCAAATTTTGTTGCGGACTCCGGACTGGTACAGAATTTAGACACTAGACTAGATCATAAAAGACTAGACTATACCTGTTAAAACAGGAAGAAGCGCACACCGTTGCTGTTGGTGGGAGAGTAGCCGCTAGTCGCATGCGCACTGAGCGGGTTCGCAGTGTTGCCGCTATCGTTTCTTAAAGTTGCAGAATGTTTTATAAGACGTTTACTTTATACCACCTTTTCAAAGACTGCTCGAGTCATCTAGCGGGGGGGGGGATAATTACCTCATTTACCCCCCCCCCCGTGGGAGCGCCAGTGTCTCTATTATTTCAACGTCTGTCTGTGGCTAAGCGTGAATGAAAAGAGTTGAGTAAATCTTCCTTCGACTACGAAATGTCTCCTGTTCTAGTTAGGGCCTTTGCACACGCATCGTAAGCGTAATCGTTTCGTAAGCGTATAGTTACGACGCAACGCTTACGAGGCCTGCAGTGTTCCACACACGCATCGTCACGTACTCGTATCGCTTTGTAGGATCTCAGTTGAAATCATGGCGTCAACGGTACCATATGTTTCTGGTGTATCCATTGATGATCTTACATTTTCTTCAGACGAAGAGGATTTTTTATTGTTTGATTATGGTAGAAGTAGAAGGCAACGTGCTCATTGGACCCATCCATACATCGCAAGTAATAAGAAGAAAAGATTGCTTGTTGCTGCACTTGAACTTTCAGAAGATGATAATAAACGCTTGCTTCTACGCCTGCCTTACGCCAGACCGCTACGACTATCGTAATACGACTGAACATCTCATACGCTTCGCTGCAACACCGCTTCGTGTGCGGACTTGTTAGCACACATACGAGCTCGTTTAGCTCTCGTTCTACGCGCGTATTACGGTACGATTACGATACGACATAGTGTGCGAAGGCTCTTAATTTGTTCGACGAGAAAGGATCAATGCGAAAGACAAACAAGTCACAGTTATATAAAATGTTCACTACTACCCTATCCTCGCGAGCATTTTTTGAAGATTCTCAGTTTGTTGTAGGCGGAGGCTGGTTGCTTCACAGCCTCGTTTGGCCTCATACTAAGACATACCGTGCAATCTTTGATATGTACAAGAACTTTCTTGTTAAGCGGTTTGGTCGGAGCGTCATTATTGTTTTCGACGGATATGAAGATGAACATATAGGTGTCAAATCATACGAGCGAGACCGTAGACAAGAAACAAATTGTAGCGTGGACGTTGAAATTGAACCAGTCAATCTCCTCCCATTGAACCAAAGGAAATTTTTGTCCAACGTGAAAAACAAGGCTCAATTTGTTTATCATCTTGGTCAAACTCTTGCAACATATGAGGAATTCAGTTTTACAGTGATCCATGCGAAAGAGGATGCGGATGTTGAGATTGTGAGAGCAGCTCTGAAGACTCACGTGCTATAGTCGTCGGCTCGGATGTTGATCTCTTAATATTACTTATTGGTCTCACTCCAGACTCAGAGATCATGTACTATTACAAGATGGGCCAGGGAGGCAAGGCGAACCAATTGTACGATACACGGGATCATAAACATTTCTACTTTTCGCTTATGCGTTTGCGGGCTGCGACACTACTAGCTGCTTTTTTGGGAAAGGGAAGATGAAGCTGTTGTACTTGCTGATGCAGAACGACAGCATTTAGAAATCTGGCGCTGAAGTTTTACAAGCCGGACTGCTTGGAAGACGAATTGCTGCAATGTGCAGAGACTATTACTCTCGCACTATACGTATACAAAGACAAAGAACAGTCTGCTTCTCTCGGGACTTTCAGATACAATTTGTTTTCTACAAACTTAGCAAAGGCAAAAAAGGAAACGCCCCTAGAATGTCTCCCACCAACATCTCCTGCCTTGCTTCAGCACTGTAAATCCAGGTGCGGCTGCAACACAGATTGGATCCCTGCTTGTGAGGATGGACAAGACAGGGTAATTCTCATTCCGATCATGTCTGAAGTAGATCCCGCACCAAAAGAACTGTTACAAGAGGTACGTGTAAAATTTATTCAATTTGAAGCACTAAATACAACTTCCTATAACTAATTTTTTACCACACTTTTGATCTCATGTACTGTCTGATCGGATTTAAAATAATTTTTGAAAAATGTGAGATCCAGCTTCAAGTCAAAATAACAAATTTTTAGACTGATCTATGAAGGACTATAAAAGGCCCTTACAAGACAACTGATATTAAGATTATAATAATTCTTATAAAAGCCTTTTTTCAGGCCTCCTGTGGATGCCGAGGGCCCTGCAAATCGAAGCTATGCAACTGACGAAAAGCCGGTCTAAAGTGCAACTCTGCTTGCAAAGTATGCTGCGGAAAATCGTGCAACAACTCAAAGAGATGGACTGCTACAGAACACCATGATAGCGAAACTCCGACGACTACAGATGAATGTGAGGAGGACGGTAGGCAAACTACCGTAGAACCCGATATTGACGACTTAACAGAAGATGATGAGACCTCATCAAGCGGCCAAGATGCAACGACAGACGACGACGAAATTAACGCAGATGACGTCGGCTACGACTTTAATGACTTTGATCTTCAATGATTTATCCTACTTGTAATAAATTGGGGTGGATATAACATTGAGCTGTATATACTTTCAATTCCACTTACATGCTATTGTAGGTTTCATTGGCTCAAGTGAGGGTTTTTGTACACCTTATGCATGAAATGTAAAGTAACAAATGTAATACAAACATATTTGAACACAAAAATAATTTGTTATACCTACTCTATCAAAATAGAACTGTAACTTCCAATTAATGGTTTGTACATAATTTCTTATCTCGATTGAAATATAAGGGAAAATGTTTAATTTCAACTCTGAAATGTATACGCACATACTTATAGTCCTTTCATTATCAATATGTAATTGGAATCGTAAAAAATCTCTGAACCCCAAAAAAAATGGTGTGAAGTCCTGTACAGATAAGTTGTACAGCAGAGCATACTGCCACGTCAAGCTAACTAGGACTAGACCAATGAGCATTACTATTGGTTTCCTCAGCGAGTGGGCAGAGAAGACATCGTCAAATGCTCATCACCATCGGCCATTGTCTATTTTTTACATATTTGCGTTGGCGTAGGTCAGACCAACGTATAGACGTGGCTCAAGAACTGCTAAATCTCCTATCATGGTCGTAGATTAACAAATACCGGTGATCAAACTGATTTGCGAGGATAATTATGAAAATAACGTGGAGCCTCCAAAACGAGTCTTTTGATAACTCATTGGGCTTCTACATCCTGTAATGTATTCTTATCATTGCCACTCACTTATATACACGTTCACACCTTTTTTGCAGCTGTAGGATTTTTTTATCGTTATTCCAATTCTAAATGAAAATATACCTATCCCGTCAATCGGTAAGCGGCTGAAGAGAAATTACTGCATCTTGTACTCTACTTAAACGCCTAAATTTCAAAAATTCATTAATATGCATAAGTCGGTGAACGCCACAACTACAAACGAGCTTATTATTCGAAATCGACTGGCCTATCACCGAGAGTGAGTCACTGGTCAAATCAACCAAGACCAAAAGAAGTCCTTAATCACTTATAATTCTGTCTCTCCAAAATTTTATGCTCTTCCCAAAATACACAAACCGGTACTGTCAGTAAGACCGATTGTAGCTTCTGTTGAATCAGCCACACTAGCTTTATCTTCATTAATTGCAGATACTCTAAAGTCAGCTCACATCAAGGGAGAATACTTTATAAAATACTCTTTTGATGTTTGTCAACAATTTAATAGATTTCAAAATCATGTTATTGAGAGTTTAGATGTAGTTTCACTGTTCAGCAATGTGTATTTAGAAGCTTGCATCAGATCCATCAACAAACATTGGGATCTAATTTGCCAACACAGCAACCTAACTCTGGATTCTTTCATCAATATCGTGGAGTACCTTTTCCAGAACAATTATTTTACCTTTAATAACAAAGTGTTTTCACAAACACATGGCTGCCCCATGGACTCTGTTTTATCTCCAATTTTGGCAGAATATGTAATGGATGACCTGCTTGATGTTGTTATTCAAGTACTAGCGCAGTTGCTGGCACGCTAACGCTATGCAAAATATTGTACGTTGATCTCTTTATTTAAAACCTCACGTAGCGCATTTGCTGGTATGCTTATGTAATGCTAGCGATATACTTTATCCCTATCTCTAATCATTTTTTATCCTTTGGTATCTTTGATCTGTTATCTGGTATCTGGTGTCTGCTGTCTGTCATCTGTCGTCTGTTGTCTGTTATCAGTTATCAGTTATCAGTTATCAGTTTTCAATTTTCAGTTATTACTTAGCACTTATCAGATATCAGTTATCAGTTACCTGTTATCCTGTTTTCTGTTAATTTTGAATTTTTAATTGTTAATTGTAATTTTTAATTTTAATTTTTAATTTTTAATTTTTAATTTTTAATTTTAATTTTTAAATTTTTAATTTTTTAATGAATTTTTAATGTTTAATTTTAATTTTTAATTTTTAATTTTTAAATTTTTTAATTTTTAATTTTAATTTTTAATTTTTAATTTTTAAGTTTTAATTTTTAATTTTTAAATTTTTAATTTTGTAAGTTTTAAAATTTTTAATTTTATTTTTAGATTTGTTAATTTTTATTTTTAATTTTTAATTTTTAATTTTAATTTTTCCTTTTTTACTTTTGTTTTAATTTTTAATTTTTAATAATTTTATTTTTAATTTTTTAATTTTTAATTTTTAATTAATTTAAATTGTTAATTTTTAATTTTAATTTTTAATTTTTAATTTTTAATTTTTAATTTTATTTTAATTTCTTAATTTTATTTTAATTTTAATTTTAATTTTTAATTTTAATTTTTCCTTTAATTTTTAATTTTAATTTTTAATTTTTAATTTTTAATTTTAATTTTAATTTTAATTTTTAATTTTTAATTTGTTAATTTTTAATTTTTAATATTTTAATTTTTAATTTTTAATTTTAATTTTCAATTTTTAATTTTAATTTTTAATTTTTAATTTTTAATTTTTAATTTTTAATTTTTAATTTTTACTTTTAATTTTTATTTTCCATTTTTCATTTTTCAACGTCGCATGTATCGTTGTTAATAACACACATGGGCGTTATAAAATTTATAACGTTAATGCCATCTATAAAATTGTATGACAAACTCAGATTTATGTGAGGATCCGGCAAGTCGCGTGTCTAGCTACCGCACGACTTGCAAAAAAATGGCGCTTGACACTTGACATATCTCAACCGTGTTCGCCTAAGGATAGCACGTTCTTTCTTCAGTGTAAATGTTTTATGATTTGACAGGAATGAAAATTATTTTTACCTTATTTAAATCTGCTGGCGATTATTAAGGGTACCTCTCAAACTTCTTCAAAGATGAAATACATTATCACGATAGATATACACCGAGGCACTTCGTCTGAACCGAAAAACTGTAAACACTCGGCACCGGGTATCACTAGACAATACTATACACTACCGCACACTGCTGAAAGAATAATTGCACAATCTGTCAGTAAACATCGGAATCTATCGGTAATCATCGCAATCTGTCGGTAAACATGGCAACCTACTCGATTGTTATAACGAATAAAGGTATAGTCCGGTACCGTTTGTACTATAGAATATAGAAATTTTGAATCCTTTCGAAAATGTTTATTTTCACGCGTAAAAAAGGACAATGGTATTCGGCGTGATCCTATATTCGATGAAGCGACCAACATAAAGCCGAAAATAGCACGTTTCGGACGTTTCGCTCGCACGCGCTCGCTTTCGTAATACGATCGTATCTACAATACCCCGCCTAACAGGAATCCGGGGATCTGGAGGGGAAATTCAAAATATCTTTGAATTTTCTAATCTGCCGAGTTTAAAAAATGCGATCGGGTAACGTGTCGTATGTCGGTTTAATCAGGAGACTTTGGTCTTTCGTTTTGCGAAAAAAAATCGTAGCTACGTCGCTCCGTAACGCAGGTCCGTATCGACGAAGACAAAGTACGCCGAAAAACGGTTGTCATCGGTACTTTTGAGGCGCTCAAAGTTTACTTTTTCGAAATTTGACGGTAATTCTGACGGTCAGAATCGTTTCGTCAGCTCATTATCGTTATTTTTCGATAGCTGTATAATTTTTACTCGCTCACGTACGGTAGTAATAGACGAGGACAGAGCCGGATGACAAAGTGACTTTTTCGCGCGTCGAAAAGTAGCGTGTTGTCGGGCAATTTTTAAAAAATCGAAACTTTCGAACGACAAGGGATAAAGGAAAAAAAAAGACGCTATCTTTGAATCCGATGATCGGGCTTTCTCACGCAAAAATCGTCAGGTTCGTAGCTCCTTTATCTTCGGAGGCGATAGCTGACGAACGGCGAAGAAGCGCGCTTTATACGCAAAAAGTCATTCTTGACTACGTTCGAGGTTCGTTTATTCGAAACGGGTACCGTAAACGAAAAAACGTCTCTCGGCGTAATTTGTAGCGCTCGCCGAGATGTACGAAACGCGGCGCGCGAAATTCCTTTTCTCTTCGGCATAAGGGAGATATCGTAGTTTTCCAGGCGATTCGTCGTTTTTGTCGCATTTTTTTATAACATTTCTAGAAAAAAAAACCGAGACGCGGAACCGAACAGAATTAGCTTATTGGCACGTATTTCTCGTTTGGCTATCGAACGAGACCGATCTCGAGTCGATATTTCGATAAACGGCGAAACGAGTGTGAAATAACGCCGCGTACCGTCCGAAAAACGGTCGATTTTTCGACTTTACCGGCCGTTTTCGATCCGATCCGTTCCTCTCACCGCGACGGCTCTCGCCTCCCGATAAAGCGCCGAGTTTCTACTTTCCGAAACGGTACCGCTTTCCTTCCGGACGTTTCGCGAACCTCCTAAAAAACCGCGAAAACCGCGTCGACGTCGCACGGCCTGACTCTAAGGTCACGTGGTCTTCTACAAAAAAAAACAATCGATCACCGCTTAATATAGTCGACTAGCGCAGTTTCTAGCATGCCAACGCTATGCTAAATATTGTCCGTTGATGTCTTTATTTAAAACCAGCCGTAGCGCAGTTGCTGGTATGCTAATGCAATGCTAGCGATAACTTTATCCCTATCTCTAATCGTTTTTTATACTTTGGCATCTTTGATCTGGTATCTGGTATCTGGTATCAGGTACCTGGTATCTGGTGTCTGGTCATCTGGTATCTGGTATCTGGTGTCTGGTGTCTGGTATCTGGTATCTGGTATCTGGTATCTGGTGCCTGGTGTCTGGTATCTGGTGTCTGGTATCTGGTGCCTGGTATCTGGTATCTGGTATCTGGTATCTGGTATCTGGTATCTGGTATCTGGTATCTGATATCTGGTGTCTGGTGTTTGGTGTCTGGTGTCTGGTATCTGG